TTTTGCACCTTCCCTGCAGGCAGGCACGGATGGGTCTGCACAAGATGGGCCTTTGGGGGACTTTTCTTGCTGGAGAACTGGTTATTAGAAGCCTGCAGTGGGGGAAGAGGATAATTAGAGGCCTGAGTCTTCCCACTAGTAGAAGTCTTCAAAAAGTTCATGGAAAGGTTCATACTATCCTTTAATTCTATTTTTCCATGAACTTTTTGAAGTATTCTCATATGTCACTGGCTTCAAGGGAGCTGGTAATTATTAAAATGACCCTCTGACAGGTGGTCCATATCGACAAACGCCACTGATTTCCTTTTTTCAAGGCTGTGCATTGGCTAAATTTGGAATTAAAGAAAACAACTCAAATTTTTGATCCTCTGTTTAGTCTGCGTTTAGCTGCACTGCACTATCTGGTGAATACAAAGCAAACTAGATCAAGTAACTCAACCCAACCCGACCGATTAACCAACCACCCACCCAGATGAAAACCATGAAGAATGGGACTGGTAGGGAGAGGAGAGAAATGGCTTTTGTGATTCTTCCTTTTACATGAATAGTTCTTATACCATAGGTGACTTGCACTAAAGTCTGTGACAAATGTAGAAAGTCTGACTTAGCAGGTCTAGGCTGCAGCCCAGAGTATGCAGTTTTATAAGCATCCCAGGTAATTCTGATGCAGATGGTCTACGGGCCACAGTTTTGAAAGTTAAAGGAGGAAGTAACCGAGGATGTTTTTGATGGAGGACTTCCCTCTCCGGCTTCATGCTAAAGATGTCCTCATTTACTCTCAGTGGCTGGAATCTCCGACTGGGGAAGGAGTGGATGAAATTGGGGGAAATTGCCCATTTTCGTTTCTGTTTAAATTCAAGCAGAGAGTATACAAACTGAAAGATTTGTTTGGGGCTGTTTTGAGGACCAAAGAAGTCAATCAAGAGATAATAAAGAAGCAAGTATTGATAAGAGATGGCTGATTAGGAGCCATCTCCTTAAGGTGTTCCCTTCCTTAGTGTTAGACAAACTTGGGTCACATGCCCCAGCAAGCTGTGTTTTTAATGGAAAAAATAGAAAGTTAGAGTGCACGTGTAGGGAAAATGAAATGTAAATCGTCCCTCGGGGGGTTCGGAATCTTGCTGAGCATTTGATGCAAATGATAACTGTGCCTGTGCGCCCAGGTGTTCCTTGACTATTGTCTGTGGGTGCATGTGGGCACCCAGGTGTTCCTGGGTTATTGGACTTAAGTATAAAGGACAAACAGCTCTGATCCACAGTGCCCTTGGGATGCTCCAGGAGGCCACCAGGGCTGCTGCTGCTAGCTACCTGAGCTTGCATATGAATAAAGCCTATTAATTTTTACCCACGGCTCCCAGGATCTTTTCTCTATTACTTAGTTCATGGACCTGCAGATGAGGGGTTTGTGACACAGTCTGTACAGTGGGTTGGAAGGGTCTGTGGGCCCTAGCCCTAGCAAGACAACTGGCTACATCAGCAGGATTCTGACAGTTGC